TGAAACAATGCATGCGGCCATGCATGAGACCATGCATGCAACTATGCATGAAACCACGCGTGCAATCATGGATGAAACCAGGCGTGCAATCATGCATGAAACCATGCATGCAACCATGCGTGCAAACATGCATGAAACCATACGTGCAACCCTGCATGCAGCTGTGCGTGAAACCATGAGTGCAACCATGCATGAACCCACACATGCAGCAGTGAATGAAACCATGCGTGCAAACACGCATGAAGCCATGCACGCAACCATGCGTGCAACCATGCGTGCAACCATGCATGAAACCATGAATGCAGCCATGTGTGAAACAATGCATGAAAACATGCATGAAACCATGCGTGCAACCATGCTTGCAACCATGCATGAAACCATGCGCGAAAACATGCATGCATACGTGCTTGCAACCAGGAATGAAGCCACGCATGTAACCATGCATGCAACCCTGCATGCAAACATGCAAGAAACTATGCATACAACCATGCATGCAACCATGCATGCAACCATACATGAAATCACGCGTGCAACCATGCTTGCAACCATGCATGAAACCATGCACGCAGCCACACATGCTCGGCCCAGGCGCTAGAGTTAAAAGCCCCGTGAGGATGACCACGCGCAGGTCGAAGCGATACCTCAGTCGGAGTGGAGGTCTCGGGCCGTGTCGCCGTGGCTCCGCGTGGCTCCGCGTGGCTCCGCGTGGCTCCGTGGCTCCTTCGGGGCTCAAGGGAGGTGGCTCCGTGTCTTCCAAATGGTTTTGAGTCAAAAGTAGAGGAAAAATAAGGGACTATAACGCAGCCCCAGCTTGGTTTCATCTCCAGCATTGAACTTCGGGAAACCTGAGCAGTCCAACAGAGTTGAGGAATTGGATCGAAACAATCCGTTTCAGATGTTTCTTAGCACCTGCCTTGGGATGGAGAAACAGCACTCAAGAAGGCTCTTTTCAAACCCAATTGCTCCATATATATGCCATATTTGTGGGTGGTTTGGGGGGTCAATGCAGGCATATATTCCATCCATGGAGTGTATGGGAAAGAGGAAACAAAAATTTGGTCGAGGAAGCACAGCACGGTTTACCCTCGAACTCTAGAAATCTCCCTGGGCCTCCGCGCCCGAAGAGGGAGCCCAAGACCACGAAGAAGTAGGTCTTCGTGTTGAACGTCCCATACGCCTCAGAGACGAGGCACCGTGACGGAGCAGCCGTGAGCAGGTGAGTGAGGGGAACTGTGAGTCTCATCTGCCCCCCCTGGGTGGTTCAGGGACATGTTGACACCCTCTGAAAAGCGATAGGAACTGTGACGGAGTCCCACTGCCCTTTTAAGCCAAAGCATTGGTGCAATGGATTGAAAGATAGGGAGATCCCTCAGTGGTTGGGGGTGTCTCCCTTCTAATACCCATAATATGAACACCCAAAACATCAAATGTGCTCTAAACATGATCGTTACGTGGATGGCACCACCTGGTGTCTGGTATTCGGAACATGGTCTTCCAGAGGCCATGACATCCACATAACCAGCATGATTGGAGTGTAACAACTACAAACACATAAGCATGAACCTTAAAAGCATTAAACATAAGCTTAGGTTGGTATAACTCCCCAGTACAAACAAGATAAATAAGCACGTGCGGAATATACCTTTTGCCAAGTATGCATTGACCTCTTTTTCACCCACGGTAACTGCATTGACCTGCATTGACCGCTGTTCTCGGCAGTCCGAAGCGGTCAATGCAGTCACCGGCCAGTCACCGTGTCTGGGACCGACGTCTGGATGTCGTAGCTACGTCGAGTTCCCATGTCTCCGGTCATGTTGAGGTGATACAAAGCATCTGGTCATATTGGATCCAAGGGTCCAAGGGATGGAATTTTTGTTCCACTCACGTTTTTTTGGGGAGCTCTGGAAAAAGAACATCCAGCACATAAGCACACCTACTTTGTCACTGCTGGTTCATGAACAGACTCAGACTTGAACCCAAAAGAACGAGGCTGAGTTGTTGGCGGCATTCGGAGACGGCAAATTATGAGCTCACCATGATGAATGTCATTGTAATCATGCTGAGACCCCTTCAATCCCCCCAAAAAAGACGCATGCCCAAAAGACTTATTATTCTCTCGATTTCGCGGACATCAATACCATCTGGATCTCAGAAACTGAGTCTCTCAGTTTCCCTGCCCCAAAAGAAGGGGTGAAGCTTTCACCCCATCATGTTTTAGTGGCCCAAGTCTTCCAGCTCTTCTTCTCTTGCAACAAAAAACAAGAACGTCGATCCAAACGTGGGCCACGTCGATCACCCAGCTCCACGTCGCTGCCGCGCCGCGGTGCATCGGCCGAGGCACCGCGTGCAGCAAGAGCCGCTGAGCGCCGAAGCGCTCCGAGGTGACGACGTACCTCGGAGCGACGGCGGAGCAACGGAGCGCGGGCGGCTCCGACGCGTGAGCACGGGCTCCAACCGCGGTTTGTCACGCGAGGTAACCATTTGGGAGGGGCGGCACACTGCGGTTATTTCAGGGTCTTTCAGGGTGTCGGGGTAAAGAAACATGGAATACATATGCACGTTAGATGAAAAACATCACGCTTATATAGAAGCTGTGTGAGCTCCCTTTTGGATCACCAGGCAGCTAAAATGTCAGAACAGGGGTCCAAGTTCCTATCAGAACAGGGGTCTTGTCTGGGTTCATGGATACAGTGCCTGGGAGGAAGTGGAGCCAAGTGGGTGACTACGTAGGATCTACCATCCATAGACTAAAGGACCAATCTGCAATGGATCAAGGACCGAGCTATCTGATTCACAAAAACAGCACAACAAAGGCATTTCGATGGACAAAACACATCAGGATCTTCACATATCTTCACTGATTCACAGTTGCGAGGTTTTTGACTTTTGGTTTCCAGTCAAAACATATGAACACATCCTTCATTCCCGTCGCTGAGGCGGGATTCATCAGCTTGTGGCAAAAAAGCCTCATTGCTATACAAGGCTTTCCTACGAACATATCTCCTCCCTTCACAGCGATTTTTTGTGTGGTTCCCTCTCAATTCTGGTTTGGGATGGTGAACTCTGCCTCCTGAAAAAAAAAAACAGCTGTGGGAAAGAAGTGAAAGTAGGGTCCGGCACGCTGGACACAGGACACATCCAAATCTTTCATTAACATCCAAGATGTGTCATAGACCATGTTCCACATGTTCCTGTTTTATCCATCTTCAAACACCCTAGACCAGGGTGTTTTGATGTGTCTTATCCCTTTGGCGGGTCGCTTCCAACAACCCAAATTAGGACTTGGGAGAACTGCGGGAGACTATGAAACATGCCAGCCTTGCTGCTGCATACCCCCCGACAACAAAAGAAGAACCAAATGAACGACCACTGGACTGTTTCACTAATATCTTTTTGCAACTGCCATCAATCCCCAATGTCCTAATTAAGGTCATTGTTGAATCTTGATGAATAACCCCGGAGGCTTGACAATCCCAAACGGAGGCTTCTCATGAATCAATAATACTCTACATTGAACCAATCCTAACCATCTCTCCTCTGGTCGTTCCCGCGGAAGAACTCTCCGTGCGTTCCAGCGTACACCAGGCAGTTCAAAAGGAAGTCGATGGACAAAAAGCCGACCACGAAGCGTGTGTCAATGGTCATCATGGGCCTCTGCCGGTACGGACAGCGGACGGCGTGACCAAGTCCGGTCGTCCGCAGGTTGCCGGCGGCGTCCACGAGGCAGGCAGCGTCCGAACGTGCGTGAGGCACTTTGTAGACGGTATCCGTGGACGGATTCGCCATAAACAACTAAAGAAGAAACGACTCTGAACATGAAGGCCATGAATTTGGGAGGTGAAAAACGGTCAGTAGTATACAGGATCCACCGATCTCCATCACAGCGAAATTGGTTCGTCGCAGCAGAGAGCCATTGTTTGCTCCGTGTTCATTCAAAGAACTGATTCTGCAGACCAAACTTGACCTCAACCAGGGTGAAAGTCTGGTGTGAGCGCACCGTTTGCACAGGCTGAAACAGGTCCTCAACGGGTAGAAGACTTAGCAAATCTGATGGGTAATGCAGGCACTAGCCACTAGCACCAGTGCTCAAACGCCTCTTAAGCATGATGTTGTTGAGTCAGTGATGACACGGGGCGCACTTTCCCTTGATTCCAAGGTGGTTATGAAGGTGAACTTTCTGGTAGGACATGGAATAAGTATTACATGTCTCCCATATCACCCAACTAAGCCCTATCTGTGCCCTTCACCTGTGCCTATCAGTGCAGTTGCTTGGTTTCGGGTTTTGATTCAGAACTTCCCTCTAGGTCCCAGACCCTCTGTTGTGGCCGGTGAGAACAAAAGCCTGGAGGAGCTGAGCTTGGGCAAAGCGTCCGATTCGGCGGGCGCGGTCGGCCATCCGACCATGCGAATGACATGTTTGGCCAAACAAGGCTTAGACAAAATGTGATGTGTCCATCTCGTATGTATGTACTAGTACACTCACTGATTGCAGTCCAAGATTAGAGTTTGGAGCTTTCCAAGAAAACAATCTCTTTTCAAGCACATTGTTGTCAACTAAACCTACAGTAAGTAAAATAACCTGAGGAACACAGTCACCTGAGTTCACGGGAGTTTTGGTCATCCTTGCTTTTCTGTGCCCGAACATTGCTTAAATAAAGCTTTCAGGTGCACCCAATGGGATAAGGTTACAGATATTTATCACCTTGTCACTATACCAGAACCTGGAAACGATTTTCAGAACCTGGACGCCTTGAATGCCTCAAGTCACTCCTGAATGGAGGGCTGGTCAAGGACTGTGGTCCAGCCGCTCGCACGCGTCACGGACTGTGGATTCTGTCGATGCTCTTTGGACTTCGGAGGATGGGGGGGGGTCGTTCGTGCCCACCGAAGCTGAGGAGATGAGACGTGCGGAGCCCTATAGGATTGGCCGAACTCTTGAAGATGTGAGCCATATTGGCCGGAAACACCAATCACCCAAACGCTCCGTGAAAACAGCCCGACCGGTCCCTCCAAACCTAGGGATTTGAGACCCCAAACTCAGACCCCTCCATATAGGTCCGACCCATGAGCATCTGGGCAATTATGTACGCCTGAAGGCATAGGCAAACTGCCATCCAAACCCACGAACAAGCAAGAATCGATCTCCGAAACTGCTGGGCATAGCTTCTTGTTACCACTAGTAAGGCACTTGTTACTAGAAGCGATGCACTTGTTCCTAGTAGCGAACCTTGATGCACAAATTTGAGGAGTAAAGTTTGAAAAAGCGTCTTCTCCCTGTGAAGCTCCACTCGCTTGAGAATTGTTGCGTCCCCCAGAACATCAGTGCCTCCATCCGCAAAAAGAACCGATGTCTCTAGGCTGCCCCACCAAAGCGACGACGAAGCTGCATGCATAGTGCAAGAGACCTCAGCTCAAGGCCCGGATGGTGTCGGTGGGCTGATGGGGCCCAATTACTAGTAGCTTCTAGCTAATAGCGATGGCCTTCACCCTAGGAGTGATGGCCTCCAACCCAGTAGCTTGCAGCTACCAATGGCCTGCTGAAAGTGTCTAGCAGCCTACCAACATGTATAGAGCACAGCTCCACTCCCTGAAACGGAAGTGCACGGCAGCCACGCCCCGATTTTCGGAGGACCCATGAAACCCTCTATATAAACAGGCTCAGGTGGTGTTATATGCTCCACTTCCCTGCATATTATGTTGAAATCTCTGCCTTGGGCCGCCCTGGCGCATGAGGGGGCGCCAGGAGTTGTTTCTTCCATCGTGACCCACACGTGGCCCATGTGTGGCGCGTTGATGGTCGTGTTGTGCCACACGTTCATCCCCACTCCAAACTCCAAAGCTGCCCAAAACATCCCCAAAAGCTGCCGGAACATGAGACAGCTATACCATGTGTCAAGCCTACGGCGTGCCTCTTCCAGGGGCGAAAGGCGAAGGATGGCGCCTCACCAAAACGGGGGTGTCCATCCCAGCCGCTCCATGTATGGCATATATAGCTACATTGGGGTGGTTTCAGGGGTCAATTGATCGGCATATATGGCATGGAGTGTCTGGTCATGTTTTCTTTCCACGACGGGAGTGTCTCCGACCAACGGACCCACGACCGGCTCACGACGCCCACGTCCCACATCGGCCCACATCGCCCCGCATCGCGTCGAGCTGGGCGTGCACACAGTCCGAGACCTCACGGGAGACGATGGAGACGACGGAGACGACGGAGGGCGTGGCCCTCGGGTTGTGAAGGAGTCCACCCGAAACGAGGTCGGACCGAAACGGTTGAAAAGACCTGACTTGTGGATCTTGTGGGGTCACTTTTGACATGATCCGTACGAAGGAGTCGCTCCTTGAGGCTCCAGTCGTAGCTCCAAAACGCAAGACATGACTGGACCTGGGCACCTGGCACCCGGGCACCCAGTCCCATCGAAAGGAAATGAAGGTACGAAAGGTACGCCCACATGACTGGGCCGTTGCGATGTGTTGAGTTGTTGGCAGCGATTGGAGTGTTTCAATGTGAAATTCCTCCGGGAGAACATAGTAAGGTACTTGGACCCTCCAAACCCACCCCAAACACCTTCTCAGAGGGTACTTGGATCCATAGGGAGTTAAACTTTGGACAAACAAAACTGGTTTTCCATGTCAAACATCATACTAAGGTAGATCGTGGTTGGCAAGCCTGGGTATGCCTGCTTCTTGTCACTTGCTGTTGGGGGTGAATTACAAGAACAAGCTGACCAGCTGGATCACCTCGATTTGTTCGTACGTCCTGATCATTCCCCAAAACAAGGCAAGTTTACTGCATCAACAATACTTCGCCAGCCCAATGGGTGTCATTGTAGATCAACATGTTGGAAGCTGAGGGGATCACTTCATGATGAGACGAACCAAGACGTTAAATAAACGTCAGCGTACGCTGGTAAAATATGGGTCTCGCTTCAGATCGGGATTGCAAGCGATTACAAGTGAGGTTGTCACACATGTTATGTGTTAGTAATAACTAGTAATAATGTTAACAATATGCGTCTTTGTGGTTCTATGACAGCTTCGAGCAATCATAAGAAGCTGTCATAAATAAAGCATATATCCACTTGTATATAAAATAGTTGTATGTCGTATCGATGAATAAATATTCCTAAAATAGGGAGCCTTTCCAGTTCCACCCCATGAATGGTTCGGGAAATAGACCAAACATGAACCTTTTGGACCTTTTGGGGGCCCAAAAAGGCCCCCGGATGAATATAGACACACACGACTGTCATAAAGCCAAGGAATGTGGCCTGGAATGATCTGGAATGTCAAGTGGCAGTCATGGCACTGCAGGAGTTGACCATCAAATCGATCACCGAATCGACGTTCCACACCACGTGTCGATCGACCGATTCGACCGACCGGGCCAGCGGCATTGGTCAGGAACCGAATGAAGGAGCCTAGCTCGACGGTCGACGCTCCACGCGGGACGGTTGCTGCGTGTCTACCACGGAGGGGACAAAGGCAGCTCCTGGCTGCGCCAGCTGGATTTCAAGAGCCAAGAGACCCCCCCCTAAGGCCCTAAGAATAGCAGCGTTTGCAAGAATAGCATGCCTTGAATCTGCATATATATCTACGTACATCATGTGCTGAAAAATTGAAATCAGCTGAAATCAGAATGATGTACCTCAAAAGCCTGACGCATTTCTTTGAACATGGGGGAGATCTAGGTGTGCTTGACAATTTGCAAGAATGAAGATGTTCGCTGTCCATACTGGGAGCGGCGCCAAAGACACAAGCTGTTCAAGTATATATGAATTGATCTGATATCCAGTCTACTCCTGGCCCCCGTTCTCACCAACGACATGGGACTGCATCTTCAGTGTGAGTGTGCGACAACATCGAAAAACACCACAGCTGCAACTGAGTTCTGTAGCCCGTTTAGGCTCCTGTCCCATGTCAGGTTTCGGCACGAAGGACCCCCACTTGCCAAGCGCACCCACCCCAACCACCGCATACCTCCGAAAACGGAGGGGGTGGCCATGAGGCTAAACACCTCAGGGGGACGGAACCGAAGTCTCTGCAAACCAGTCCAGTATCTCCAATCGCCTGTGAAGGACAGCGGCGCGACCACAAACTGCAAGGGGCCAACCTGAGGGCCGGTGAAGCACTGGCTGATCTGAGGTGAGTGAAGGACAGAAAAGCACCTGCCAGAAGCAAGGCAAAGAAGGAAGGCTGTGGTTTTTTTCATGCTTGTTCATTGTGTTGCTCACGCTTCACTACCGTTGACACCCAATGAGTTGATACCACATCAACGACATGACCACGATCAAGATGATACCACCATGATACCGCCCTCTTTGGAACCTCTGATCAACGTTGATCTCTCGTTTGGTCCGTTCACGACGTCCAGTCCACCGGGCGCGGTTTCGTCGCTCCAGCACCGGAGGATCCGAACCTAGAACCTGAGCTCGACCTCTGGACCACCAACCACACAACATATGGCCCAACTTCCTATCAAAACAGGGGTCAGTTGGGTAGGTCCAGATGGACGTCCAGCTGAGTTGGTCAGTAAGTCCTATTAGCTAGCATAGGACTTAGCTAATAAGGCCCCATGCCGCTCTCGACAAAATTGTTTGCTTCCAGACCGGCAGCCACGTGTTCTGGGTCTGAGGAAAAGCCGCAAACCCAAGCTCTGGCTCCTCATTCACGATGTCAGGTGGCTGGCTGGAGCAAGCACTAATAGGCTTCCATGCCCCCAATTTCCGGAAAGACTAGTTTGCAAGTCCGTCTAGTCTTCCAAAGCAAATCGCAGAGTTCCTCTCTTCGCTCCTTGGGCCAAAACGCAAATCTTTCCATTTGACACAACAGCATTGAACCAATCCCATCCAAGCCCCAAATGAAACTATTGCAGGTGGTCCACGTTTCCTGCCTTGGAGGTGATCTTTCCAAGACACACCCATTGAACCAGGATCGAATTGGGGCTCCCTGACCAGCAACCCCCAGCAGCCACAGGCCCAGCAGGCCAAACACTCAAGAGCCTCAGTGGCGTCATGAAATGGTGGGCCCAGAGCTGCAGCGAAAAGCACAAAGGAACTGGTTGAACCATTCGTCTCCTGCAATATCAACGGGAACCATTTGGTTCCATCCATGGGGTATCCCCTATATCAATCAACCAAACATATAGTAAATGGCCATCTATGAGAATGTGTGTCATATTTTTTGCATCAAGGAGGGCCCACTTGATAAAGAGACAGATCTGGCAGGTTGAAAGGTTCAGGGCCCCAAAAGCCCTATCAGGCTTAATTAGTTGGTATGGATTAGCCGCTTCCTCCATCATATTGAATTAGTCTCTCATGGTGCTCAAATGGTGGGCTGCTCAAATGTTTTGTCATCAGTTTGCTCCCTCCAAAGAACATCATATTCTTCTTCAACCCGTCCGACTATCAGGTTTTGGTCCGAACACAAGTCGTGGCCTGGCAAACAAACTCAGTTTCCACTCCACCAAAAAAAGGATCCATTGGGTGGAACATGGTGGAAATCAAGCCGGTTTCCGGGCGCACAGGGTGCCTTTCCGGCCTCGTGCGCAAGGCTATATGAAGAGGCAGGCTTCTTGGCGCATTGGGTGCCTACTCCGAAGCGCCGTTTCACCTCTTCCGGCATTCTCGGTGCGAAGACGAGTCACTCTGACCAGTTGATACCTGTCTGTTACGTGTGATGGGGGAGCCTTGCTCGCCATTTTATAGATCAAATGCGTGGAGCTACCACTATAGATTCTTGATATTTGTGGAGGACCCTGACCAGTTGATACCATTTAGGTGCAAAGGTACCAGGTGCGCTCAGTCTCCATCGCAGTCTCCCAGACCTTTCAGGGCCTACAATCACTCGAGACAACTGCGCTTTCTTGATCAGGAAACTATTTGTCGTTCATACATAGATTTTGAAAGGATCAAACTCCTGAGCCAGTGAAGAGCCAGTCGTGTATCATATTAGCCTTCAATGTGAGGACAAACATGTGACGATTCCTGTATGATATAGATGTATGTTTGGATCATATTTAAAAACCTGCATTGCTTTAGAGTAGTCCAAACCTTGACCTATCCCTAAGAAATAAGAAGCAGTTGATCCTCTGCAAGAGCTGGACCGGACCTATCACGGAAATTACACGGGCACGCAAGATGGTGCAAGGGACACGCTGAAAACATGGGCTTATCGATGCTTATAGAGATGCTTAGCGATGCGGGTTCCTGACACAGTGACCAGGTGTTCTCAGCCCAGGTGTGGGACCGCTGCTCCATGTGTGGCTCATGACACCCGGGATATTGACCCATGATACTAAGAACAGATTCCGAATGTTTGGGATGTCAACCTCCCATGCTTTGGAGAACGGCGCCATGACCAACCGGGCCATCTCGGACCAATACCCCAGGCGGCCCCGGCACGCACGACGAAGCTCGACGCCAAGATCGTGGAGAAATCGGGCTCGTCCTCACAAACCTCCCCGGGAGTTTGAGCAGCCTCAAGCAATGTCATGTTGATATTCCAACACCTGTACTGGTTGAAATGTCATCAACTGAACAATCCCTAGGGCTCCAACCACATCATCAGAAGATGGTTAGACCCCCTGGCACCCACCCAAACACTTTCGAAACGGAGGTAGGCCAGGAGCCCTAGGGAATACGTCTATATATACAACCAACCAAACTCGAAAGGTTATATAAACCTTAATATGGTCGCAGTCTCTAATTAATTGCCGTGTGTATAGGATTTTTCATGTTCGACTCGACATGTTTTCAATGCTATACTAACCCAGCTGCATCATTGAACATGGATGGCGCTGCAACGCCAACATTTCAGAGAGTCCCGAATCCAATCAATTCGCAGCGGCACCCCGCGGCTTCCTGGCTCATGACACCTGCCACGTTCATGACTTGCGGTGTTTGGTTTCACCCTTCAACCTCCGCTCCTCCACGTGTTGGTTCCTTTCGATTCCTCTCCCGTTCTCCTGCGTCCGCATCCGCGTGAATCCACGGTACCACTCTCGCCGCGGCCGCGAATCCGCGCGGTGTCAACTCGCCTGGAGGATCCTCTTGGTGACCTCGCCGAAGCGACGATTGAAGTCCTCCGCGAAGGCCTTCGGCAGGCGGAGCCTGAAGCATCGGAGCGTAGAGTCGTGAGAGCCGACAGGTTCGCGTGGTTCGCGTCCTGCTTTTTTGGGGGGTGATGAGTGCTGGTTAGAAAAGGCTTGCTGCAGTGTGTGGTATGTATAATTTATGCTTAAATGTGCATGATGTGCTAAGTGGAAGAATCATATTCTATGGTGAACACTTCGATTGTCAACGGCGTTGTGTTGACCTGAACTCTTTTGAAGCCTCACACTCCGCTGGGCTCCCCAGACTGTTCACGTTCCACCTGCCGAAACGAGGGGGTTTTGGGCGCTGGCGCAGGCACAGCGCAGGGAAGCTGGAGGTGCAGGGCTGACTCTGATCAAGCATAGATATCAGACTATCAGAGTCAGGACAACCATTGACTTCATTAACCAATTCTTTGATTGACCTGAGTCCGCAAAAAATGCGATCATCCTAACCAAGGTTCCTCAATTTCAATACAAGGTTGAAACGACTGGCTCTTCGAACTTTGGTTTGCTCTGATCTATACATGTGGCCAGGTGCCTCTTCAGGGATGAAAGTGCAGAATCAGCGAACTCTTTGACATTCAGCTTGGACCCGGCGAGGTCCCGCCGGGTGTGTTTTTCTGGTCCAACCCCCCGGGTCGACCGCGGTCGGGTCCAACTTGACCCCTTCGGGTCGGCGCCGTGTCGAGGTGCTCCATCAGCTGGCCGGACGGCAAATCCCGGTGCACCTGGCCAGGTCGCTCCAGGACGGGTCGGCTTTGAGGAAACACCACGCGGGTAGATCATGGTGTCTTTTCGTCCTGGGCGGGGTTCATATGGAAAAGGAACTGAAACCGACACAGTTTGCACCAGAATATGAAGCAAAGCAGCTGGTGGTGACCTATGACCAAAATGTGACTGGAAAAGGGGGTGGAAAATATCCACCAAGGAGACCAACATAGACTTTCAGGAATTCGCAGGTGAAACCAACCAGCCGGATGGCATAGAACCCTGTTCGTCTGCTGAAAACACCCAATTCAAAGCAACCACGTACTGTTTGTCTGTGATTTGCACATTCTCTCGTTGATCTTCAGCGGGAAACCGAAACATCGAGGAGACAATCGAGTGCTCGGACATCGACCCCTGTGCCGCTTTTCCGACAGATCCCCGAAGACTCGGATGACCAGTCTTCCGAATGACCCAAAACCAGGAGAATTCGTTGGAAAACCCCGCGACTCAGTCACCAATTGGTAGCATCAGCTGCCTACCAGCCTACACCGGTGTAGGCACGGCACCGGTGAACACCACCGGCGGCTTTCCGCGGTGCGGAGCAGCAGTGCGGCCTCTGAGAAGCGGAAGACCACGGAGAAGTAAAGGCCTGGGGACCGAAGCGTCGGATGATAACGGTTTTCCAGGCCTCGACACGGTTGGGTCGCCGGGATTCCACCATACACACGATCGAGCGTGATTGGAGACCTATATCTACACTCCAGTCTCATGGAGTGTGTGGGTGAGGTCAAAGGACAAAAAGCCTCAAGAAACCAGCGGGGAAACATGGCTGGTTCGATGGCCAAACTACAGCTGTTATGCTCGCTCGATGGTTGTCAATTTGCATCTGGGCTAGACCGGTTTGTTCGATTGATTGGTTCTGAGAGTGCATGACACATGATGACACATGGTTCGGGGGCCTCTGGGAAGACGGGCGAGGCAAGCGCAGCGACCTCTTGGAACACAAATCCTTTGGTATGAAACACACAAACAGAATCACACAAACAACAATTTAGCTCCTACTTGATGGATATAACATGATCTAACGGACCTGTGGCTGTGGCAAATATACTGTATGTAAAGGTCGTCACTCAAATAATCTAATGCAATGGTGGTTGGAATCCGAGCTTTTGCGGTCAACATACCATGATCTATGTTTCTCTGTATCTTTCGGAGGTCACCACAGTCTGTGACGGTAAAACAAAACACACAAATAACGCCCAAGTACGCCCAAATGGCCTATGATCTGCTTCCACAACGGCAGCACTTGCTGCAAGGACATTGGGATAAGTGCCTTGCAAGTGCGCTGCAATTTCAGCGCTAGATGCCAAAAACCACTGCACCAACAACTTGGCAAGAGCAAAGGACTTGGAACTCATACACCTAGGGCCTATAAGTTGCTCAATTAGATTTGGCAAAATACAACAACAACAACAACAACAACAACAACAACAACAACAACAACAAC